ACATATATATATAGATACTATATATACTATATATATATATAGATATATATATTATATTATATTATATATACGTTATAATTATATATATATTATATATATTATCGAGATGGAATAGCCCATTTTTCACAAACTCAGTAGTAAATCACGGCCAAACTTTGGAATTATTACAGGTCAACCCGCTAGCAGAGTACGTCAAATCTCAGTTCTGGACATAATGCAATAAGTCATTGAGAGGCTACCGGGCTAGGAACAGCAAACAAATATTTGCTACTGATATCCAAACAATCCAGACACACCCGGTGTGTATCTTTGCATCTTTGTGTCCATACTTCTTTGTCGCAAAACCGCAAAAATCTTCCACACATGTACATACATGGGAAAAATCGATGTATCTACGCAAACACGTAAAATATATGGCAAGCCTACCAGTAATTAAATTCCTGTACAGGCGTGCAATGCAATTCGAGCAACGTGGACCACGTACAAGCGGGGACAACAAGCAGGTCATGTATTAGCTCGCACTACCGCTTGTAGAAAGAAAGTGTATGAACGATCAAGACAAGCAGCAATACATACACACTCTCATTAAAAGAGAAGGATGCATATGTATACTTGATACATATAAATACGCATAATAACTACGCATGTGCGTACATACACACACATACATACACACATAAAAATACACTTAATTTTTTTAGCTCACTGACCTGAAGTATGAGACCTTCCAAAGGCGTCCGCTGTATCTCCGGCACCGTGTAATTCTCAAAGTCAATATAGTCCTCCTGCGAGTACAGGCGGTAGCAAATACCGGGCCCTGTACGACCAGCACGCCCTTTCCGTTGTTCTGCACTGGCGCGACTGTGTGCAGCAAGTCAAATTTCATCAGCAAATTGCATGGCAGCGAGGATAAATACAGGGAACTGATAGACGTGTAGCACGGAGAGAGCTAGATGATAACAGTATTGGGACACATTAATGGGATGGTACATCCTTTCCGCTGTACAAAGCAGAATAGATTACACGGGGAAGAGTGCGTGGGTGGGCAGCGGGTAGGTGAGTGTGTGGAGGGAACATGCGATTTCAGAAATATATAAATTTATACGGTAGACCTCGACCTGAAGAAAGCTCCTACTACAACATGCGTGGTCTCGGTGCGAGCAGTTTGAGCATTCAGGAACAAAAGCTTCTTCTGTCCATGAGTTTTCTACAACTGTGGAAAGAATTTCACGTCTCTCGAGCCTACAAATCAATTACACTGCTACGACAATAAATGTGAACTGCACCCCTACCCTGGTACTTTAGAAAGTGAGACCGCCAACTACGGACACACACAAAGCACTTCTGTGGACACGCAAAGATTTGTTTTAATGATGCCCACAAGCGGTGCTGCAATGCCCACCCATACTCATCAAACTCACCTGATCCACTTTTCTTGTAATTTCTGCATTTTGGTTAGTTCGTCGTGTGCCATTTCCTTGACCTTTCCAGAATCCACCACAAAACGTATGCCGTCGATCGTTACAGATGTCTCCGCTATGTTGGTGGAGAGTATGCACTTCCGTACGCCGTCCGGAGGTATGTGAAACACCTTAATTTGAGTAGGGGATTGCAAATTAAGCTTAGTTCGGGATATGCCGTCACAACAAAAACTAGTGTCCATGTACTGTGGCCCCAACCCAGCGCCCAACTTTGGGCGATTTTCTTTTTATCATGACGAGGATTTGAATCAGGAGCATGCCATCTAAATATTCTCGTTGGCGATTAGTTATAGAAATCAATCAGACACCTGCAATATCATTCAAATTCAAATATGTATTGGTTGGTGTGGATATAGCGCCATGACACCTTTGAAAGGTCACAAGACACGCTGTCAAGTGACGCACATACCGGAGCATAAATAGAAACTAAAACATACTTCACATGCGTCTAATGCATGGCACCAAAATAGTTTACGTTGCCTTTCATCTTCAAGTTCCATCACACCTTCGCTCGCATTAGACTACGTTTAATAATCCGTTGACATAAAAGAGGGCACAGCACTAAAAAAACATACACCTACCCCTTCTCGTCGTGCCCACAACAAAACGCCCTTGTGACGACGTTGCACGCGTACACACCTTGTCCTGTTGGTCGTGTTCGAGAGCGGCATGCAGTGTGAGTATAATCCAACGATTGTTCTTCTCGGCATATCCCCGCAATGCATCTCCCACAGTCTGAATCTCAAACTTTCCGCTGTAAACGTACAAAGTAGGATTTACAAGCATAGGATTACTCAGATTGCTGCGTATGTTACCAATGCACTCAATATGGCGAAACGCATCGTCATCATTTTCCTTTAACAAAATTACAACAATCGAATACAGATGCTAGACCGAAAACCCCAACGAGACAAAATTTGATGACGTGCTATCTTAAATGAATGATCTATACATATGGTAAATGTTCAGGGCGACCGATACAAGAATACGAAAGCGGATAGAGATTGCATACATAAATGTACTCCAGATCACACAAAAACTTGGTCGTATACCTGAGGAATATCAGCACATCACCCCTTTCGGTAGGTGGGAACTGCATATCGATCATTTGCAACACCCGCAGGTAAGGAGTGGGGTCAATTTTTGCACCTCGGCTCTGCGATGGCATGTCGCTGGGTGGAAGATACTTCACCTCTATCGGATGCAGGCGTCCAGGGACCTTTATGAACGATGAGATGTGCTTATTGTTTGTAAGAGGTATCACGCATTCATAAAGTTTAACGTGCCACTGGCGCGGACTGAAGAAATCAGACACGTAACTTACAGTCTGCCAAAAATAAGAGAAGTCTGTGATACTTACTACGGTTGTGACGGAGCATCTACCCTAATGCGAGCATATATATTACTGGTTGGACAAGTCGATAGTCGCGCACATATTTGTGCATGTAAAGCATATGCACTCTCAACTCGAACATGGGGTATCAAATACTGGTCCAGTCAATGCACAGAACATAGCTACACTGAACTACTGGGCGGTTTACTCTGCATACTAGCACTTGAACTCAATCTGGGCTTTTGGAGATAGAAGGACAGACACACACATTCACATCGTTTTGGGTGCATTGAAGGGATATCGAGTCCCCAGTCCTCAATTGGAGACAAAAAATACTTATTATAACACACTGGCCTGGAATACAGCCAAGCAAACACCTACTTCTAGTACCGGCGCGTTATCGAAGTATTGAGAAAACAAGTCGACGTTGATGGTAGCTGACATCACTACAAACTTCAAATCCGGGCGGCCGTATAACAGGGACTTGATGACACCCAGCAGAAAATCGCAGTTGATATTCCGCTCATGTACCTATCAGATACGAACCATGTTGCAGATGGAGTTATTGGTTGTGAAAAGTCAGTCACGTGATGTATATTTCAGGTGGAAACGAAAAGTGCCAGGGATGACTTAAGGTGATCAGTAAAATTTTGCTGATGTACTTTAATGTTGATAGTTCATCGTGCTTGGAATGTGCACTCAGTATAAATTTTACGTTCCACCCGCATCCTATACACACACAGCTCCCTATTCGCTATGCAAGGTTAAATATCCGAAAACGCAAACATACCTCATCCATGACGATTACTTTGTACTGCGAGAGAGTAGTGTCTCCCACAATCTGTCTCAGTAGTAACCCTTCAGTCAAGAACACAACTTTCGTTTTGTTCGTTTTTGTGCCCTCGAACCTGATTTGATAGGCAATCTCCCCTTCTCCGAATGCATTAAGTGTCTCGTAGCTTACACGCTTAGCCAATGCAATACAAGCCAACCTCCGTGGTTCGGTTACGGCAATGTCTGGATGTGTATATTCAAGAACATTGGTCGGTAAATCTAATAATTTCATACCTGGCATGGTAGCGCAAACACTAAGGTAGAAAGCTATCAATACCAAATGAGTCGATTGCCTAGTAGTATACAAGATGCTGGCTGACTGTACGGTAATCTCCGAGGTGCCGTATCGGAGTGCATGTTATCAAAATTTATCGAAGGTGGAAAATATAGTATCGTCATACCCAGGTTTCTATCTGAAATGGATAGTTACTTCTTAGAAGTTATATCACGCATTCTAACAGCGTTGATTCTCTTGCAGTAGCGCGTTTGGTGAACGCAAAAAAAAAAATCTTGTACAGTTTGACTGCGGCGGAAGCTTTGAAAAAGTTCATGTACAAGGACAGTTTTAACTGAACGGTTTGCCTTGGTTGCCGTTTCGTATTTGTTGCCGGATAGAACTGTTCCGCTATCCACTTTGTACTAGATTTACGATTGCACACATACACACTCTCTTCTAATAACACGAACTAGAGTTGATATCGACTCGTCATCAGATCACTACTTTTTCTCAGGTGGACTTTTACGCAGCACCTGCACTAGGCGATAACTAAAATACTCGCAATGTACTTGAAAACGAGGGGAGTATTACTTTTTTCACTCACATATAAAGAAAAGTCTGTTAACCAAAGTACCGTCATCCGCACACCTGTATAGCCCGCCTTCAACAGATACGCGGGCAACTGCGTGCTCTTCCCACACCCAGTGTCTCCCGCAAGTACTACCACTTGGTTCGACTTCAGTAGCTGCACTATTTCGTCATTATGCGAAGCAATTGGCAGATTCGCTTGGGCTTTCCTCAGTGTATCCAGCTTGCGGAAGGTGCCCGTCAATAAGAAGTGTGCGTATTGTTCGACATGGTATACGAAACTATCATATGCACTCTCCGAGATTTGTGTATGTTCCTGTGCGTGCGCATAGGTGTGTGTGCGTGTGCGTGCTCGTGCTCGTTCAGACACTGTGTGATACGAAGGCAATACAACCGAGCTGTTTATCCTGTGCTTCGGATGGTAAGTGCTCGGTAGATTAAATCGTCGACCATGGGTTTCGCTTCGGTCTACTGGAGTGCCTAACGCATCTGTCGCGGCCAAATTTGACTTTGATGCTTCGCCGGAGGTCGGTGTTTGAGTTGACATAGGTTTCTTATTACGTCGATTTGCTAGACCTATTAAATTATGAATAACCAATGATGAGGTCAGCACCATCGATGGCAATCGACACTATGGGCCACACAACAGTGAATGAACGTACTGAGGAGTGTCAAGTACGACTAATTTTTGGAGCACAAATGTACAATATGAAGCCCAGCAGCACAGAGAAAGCGTGAAATATGTCGCCACTTACATACACCAGTGGTGTAGTCTACACTGTAAACTCAGATCAACCAATAGCGTGTCTTTGGTAGCAAATCTATATCCCTCTGTGTAGTGCCTAGCATGGATCGAATGCATAGATTGGCGTACAGAGTCGTTTACATCTCTTTTGGGTTTTTCTCGTATGGTAAGAGCCTTAGTATGTCTAGCACGATCGAGAGAATAACTACCTTGTAAATATAGAATAGAATGTAGTACATCACTACGGCATGATAATATAAAGAAGTGTTATACACCCGTACAGACATATAAGCAGGCGTAAATACATTGCAGGGTGTAAATATGTTTAAGAAGAAAGAATTTCGTCACGCACTTGGAAGCAGGAGAACAAACCTGCAGTTCCAAGTAACCATCACATACCAGAGAGTTTCCTGACGAATCGCCAGAAGTCCTCATGTTGTGGTGTGCCTATTCGAATAAAACTGTCGGTGCCTTGGCTGAACACACAGGCGTCCAAAAGGTCTCTTAGATCTTCTATTTGTGTCGCGCACTCACTCGCAGCTGTAGCTGTTGTATTCTGTATTGCATGATTTTTCAATTGTGTGGATCCATAAGAGAATCTAAAGGATTGCCTGCTTGATATGCCGGCATATTTAACACTATATATATGAGATATGAGATCCGAGTGCCACTAAATTAATATTCATGACAGCACATTTTAAACAACAGTATCAAGTGTTTTAAAATGGTTTTCAAGTTTTATTTACAAATAAATACTAAAGTGAAAACACACGCTATTAAAAATAAGTCGATAGAAGCCTATGTATTTGTGTGTGTGTGTGTGTGTGTGCGTGTGTGTGTGTGTGTGTGTGTATGTGTACATATATATATATATATACATTTACGCATATACACATATCTATGTCTATATAAGTAACATTGACTGCCATTTCTAAATTCTTTTTCGATTTGCTTCGCAGCTAACCAATTGTTGCGCATGACTGTGGAAGGCCGCCTGATTATGGCATTCAAGCCCCCAAAGTTCTACCACCGAGACCCACGATCTCCTGCACCAGCTTCAGACACACAAGTACCGGTCCAAATACAACAGCACAAGGACAGGACAGATACGAGCACAGACACAAGAACGTCTACCAACGCAGAAACAAGCTCGGACGATATACGGGCAGATGCATCTGTTGGAGACAAGGTTATCGAGAGCCCTAACGTTCAGGAGTGCATTCAAGAGAAGCAACAGGGTGACACGCAACAACAGACAGACTCAGAGGAAGCGGATGATACGACGGAAGAGTCCGATAGCAACGACAATGCCCCACCAACAAGGTCGAGGAATGCGTTCAGCTTGCTCATGGACGAATAAAGTACTACGCGTATACGTTTTCAGCGTTATAAATGAACGAATACAGACAAACGTTCAGTTTGTGGGTGAACGCTCACATATCCTGTTAGTCTTGGTTTGTCTATGGACGCACGCACCGTAGTCAGACAATTAGAGCGCACTACGTTTAGTAAGTGTAGACATACGTTTTGACTGCTCGAAAACGGATTGGGAACACTGCACACCGCTGCCTCTGTCACTATCCTCAAATTACACTTTTTTTTTGTAACTTTCACTTCTTCCGATTGAAACGTTTAAATTTATCATTTTTAAAGTATACGTATGGAGCATCGTTTCGCGAGAGACTTATCAGCCCATCTGAAGTTCACTCAGCCGTTAAAACGCATACCCTCAGACGAGCTTGATTCGAATCGGAAAGAACGGATGACACAACTCGCTGACACTTTCACGCATGGCGCAGACATTGCTATTGTGCAGATACCGTTGCTGTGGGGTTTGTACGATTCCAAGGCCCTTTTCAAGGCTCCTTCTATACCCACTTATGCGAGTGTTGCCAAGAACCCCTTCTCCGCTTTCGTCCCACTCGCTATCCCGTGCAGGCGGCCGCAGCTGAAGCTGTCCATGCACCTTAGCCTCGTATTTGTACACACTATCCCGTGCAAACGCCTGCAAGCGTGCTCGCACATGACAACAACTACTACCACACCCCTCCGCCAACATCTCCTCCACGCATCTCTCGGCGCCTTCGGCCAGCCATTGCGCTGCTGTACTGCCGCGAGAGGTCCATTTTAGGGCCGTTCTGGCCCTATTACTGCTCGCAGGATCTTCCAATACCCTGTACTGACCCACACCTATATGCACCAGTTCGCCTGTTTTCGGGTCCATTTGCACCGCCAGCACAACACGGCACTTGACTCTTTCACTCTCCCTCTCGCGCGAGCGCAGTTGGTCGGTCTCGGCCTGTCGTAGGGTTCTAGGGTTTAGGGTTTGTGGGTTCAGTCCTGTGCCCTTGCTTGCTACTTCGCCTGGACGCGAGTATGCTGTGCCTGTAGAATGCAAGTTCTGCTTTGCTATGTCGCATGTTTCTGGACGTTCCGATACCGTTTGGTACTTACTCTGTGTATGTGTATGTGTATGTGTATCTGTATGTGTCTCTGTATCTGTATCTGTATATGTATGTGTATGTGCATGTGCATGTGTATGCGTATGTGTACTTATAGGTGCACGTGTACGTGTGTGTGCACTTGTCTTTACAGGCGTACGATCCCCAACACACACTTGAGTGTCAGGCTGGCCACTGGTGCGCGTGGGCGTGTGTTGTGTTGACGGTCTAGTCCTGTCACATACTACCACCGCCCGTACCAGCAGCGTTACCTCGTCCTCGTTGGTACAAAGGCTGGTGGTGCGGTAGTCATTCAGCCGCACAAACCGAAAGTACTCGTGACCCCTTTCTTCGCATGTGTTTCGGTCTGTGTGGTGTGCAAGGGCACATCCACGTGTCTCTGAGTGGTCCAGCTTGCAAGTTGGTTGGTTCATCTTGGCCCTGCTCCCACCTATAGCTGCCGTTGGGTGCGGGGATCTGATGTCACTGCTATCGACCGTGTGCAAATGTCCACACTGCTCTGTACCTGAGTGCCTGGGCGTTCTATCACAGCCCCACTTGACGCTGCGGATTGGTATCTTGGGCTCATACGCACTATCTCGTCCACTGACGCTCTCCATAGCCGAACCTCGGGCACATACCCGTACTGCTTTACTATGAGCGCTATCGCCAGTTGTCTCCCTCGTTCCGATCCCCCGTGTGGTACTATAGCCCGAGCTATTGACGGGATCGGTATCTCCATGCATGGCTTTCATAGTCCTTTCCGGACTTACCTCACCCTTTGCTAGGACATCCACGTGCCAATTGTGGGTGTCTCTGTCTGCCTCCACGCGCATAGCATCGTCTGACGACCCGAAACACGTGTATCTGGCCAACTCCCCTCCAATACTTGTAAACAGGCGGTGCTCTCCGGGATGCGTATTCGGTATACCCGCATGGTTTCTTCGCGCAGTTGTGTGCAGGTCTACAAGGTTGCCGGCCCCTTGTCTGTCTCCATTGGTCTTAGACACACACTCCACGCCAGTCTGATCCCCACAAACCCCTTCCCCGCGTTTACCCTTAGCATCTACATAACCCCTGCACGCATGCTTGAACACCGCGTGTTCTCCATCTACCCCCCCCACGTTCACACACTCTCCATAGGTATCTCTCGTATGCACACCCTCCTTGCACGGTCCCTGCTCGTATGCACGACAGCCATCCTGACCTCCTGCACACACACCCCCTCGCTCGGTACATGCCGCACTCACACATTCACCGTCGTGTGGGGTTACTGATACATCGGTTCGCGACAGACAGTAGTATATAAGCGACTCCACATCGAGACTGTACGCGTGCAGCTGCGCGCGTGACGCTGGCTGATAGAACTTCACACTCTTCACCCAATCCCAACCCAACTCCCCGTTGCTCTCTGGTGTGTGGGGGCCATGCGCGTGTACCGGATTAAGTTGGCCAGGCAATTGTGTGAGATCCCGCATATGCATATGGCTGTGTGGATGGGCGGGTATTTTTGTGGTGCTATGTGTGCTATGTGGGTGTGTGCATACACGCCTATGTGTGTGCGTGTCAATATGCCTTGGCAGTCCCGTATCGACTTCCTGGTGTCTCTGCGCGGGGGTGCCGTCCGATAGTGCTGCACTGCTCGAGGGCAAATTTGATTCTGTGAGTGTAAGCGGCTGCGCTTTACTCAGCTCACTGTGGGTCGCCTGACCATAGCTGCGGGTACCTACGTTATACCTGCCTACGCCTCCAGCCCAATCAGGCGTGAAAGCGTTTGTTCGTGAATGCGTTATCTCAGCCTCCACCGGTACCCCCAGTGTATCCTCACACACACCTGCACTCCCAGACACATCAGGCGAGCGTGCATCTGTCAGTGGCAGAGGGAGCGGTTGCGCTGTGGTGTGTGTGGTTGTGGTTTGGGTGGCACGTGTGTATTCGTGTCTATCGCATATACCTGTGCCGAAGTGCTGGCCGAAGATGTCGCCGCTCGTGCCTGCGGTGTGCTTGACGTCCAACAGACTCTGTCATACAGTTGTGGATGGGCAGCAACGAGAACTAGGTGAACGGATGAGACAGTGGTAAACTCTAAACCCCAAAACCCTAAGTATACAACCGTGCTACA